TTCAAATGAAGCTCTTAAAGCAATTCAGGATGTGAAGGAATAAGCTCAAAATGCCTGTCTACCAGTGCAACCACTCCACCCAGTATGTTTTGGAAGGACAGGAGTGCTCTTCATCCTCTGACCTCAACAAAATCACTGTGAATTTGGTTAGCAAGTGGCCAAGTCAGAGCTCATAAGCCTTGCTGGGAGAATTTTGTTACCCTTTGCTTAGTGTATGCAGCAAGACCTTTAGATATTTGATTAGGTTGTGTGTTTTATACATTGTGCAGAGCCTTGGAGGGAACACACGAGAGGACTGACACACTTTAGTAACTTTACAGAACTGAAGCTATTTAAAAGACTGCTCAGGAAGAAGAAGAAAACTTTGTTCTGCTTCCTTATCACCCTCTGTTTAGCTCTGGTTGGAAGGCAATTCAGGGTTTCTGAATCCAGGTTGGAGAATAGCATCTTTACACTCTGCCTGGTAGAGCTGCCCACTTCGGATTTGTACAGGAAAATCCCAAATATTCTGTTCTGTCCCAAAATATTTTTTATCCTAAATGTCTTAAACAAGAAGAGTACAAATCAGTTTCTTTCCTCATCTTCTTTATCTTTCGTCTATTTCCATGACTCTGGAGCTGTGACTCGCTGTTGTTTGTGCAGTCTCTGGGTTTTAGCCCACAGGACCATTTTATCTTTGCAATACAGACAGAGTAGTGGTTCAAAACACATGGCCATTCTCAGAATATCCTGTTTTTTAAAGTTGGCTGTGGACAGCATGGAGAACACAGCACAGCTGCTGATCTTGCTTGTTCATAAGACAGTGAGCTTGATTTTTTTCCATGACAGTACGCAAACATGGCACTAGACCGTTGTAACCTTAGCTTTGGAACACCATCCCAAATTCATTGCACCCTCAAAGGCTGTAATATGAATCCTCAAAGGATGACTTCTAATTGTACTTGTCTCATCGAAGTGAAGGAACGTGTAGCTTGCTCTGTTGAAATATCTTCAGCAAAAGTTCCTCTAAAACCAACTTGTTATCTCCTGAGGATAAACCAACAAGCTATAGGTCCAGAAGGAGCTGAATTTCAGAAAAGCTTTGAAGGATTAGATTTACAAATTCCCTGGGGAAAAAAAAAATGTTGATAAGACTATTGGTGGTTTCTGGCTCCCCTTTTTAAAGTTCACCTCCTTTGACCGTAGACTGGTGTAATGGTACCAGACGTTCCTGCTGTTTTCCTGAGTATGTCCCGTCTGCTGGAAGTAACTTTGCTCCCTTTCCTGTGGGGTCCTGCTTGCTTCTCTTTCACTCTACCTTAAAATAAAAGCTCATCCATGCCCGTTGTTCTCTTAGCACACCCATGGTTTTTTCCTCCTTGAGTTTCTGCATTTTTGCTTCTCATCTCTGTTGAAAATTGAGATGAAATACTCATGTAAAAACTTGAGATCGTTACAAGTTCTAGATAGCTCTTTTTGCTCAGCTTTTTCTTTTTTTTTTTTTTTTTAATGCCATTCTTTGTAAGGAGCAAATGAGATCCAAAACGTGTGGCTTTCTTCTGGAAAAAATGACGTCCTTTCATGGCTGAAAATATCAGAGCCCTGTCCCGAAAGGTACCACATCCCTGTGCTCATAAAAGAGACTCTGCAGGGGGCAATTGCTGAGATGGATGGTAGCAGGATGGTTATACAGCAACTGGTGACTGCTTTATTACGGTGTATAAAATGTTCGGGCTTTTCTTGTCAGAAAACACAGCATAGGTTATATTAGTCAATTAACCTGGTAACCCGAATGGCTGTTTTTCTTCCATGTGAGAGCCTGTGCTACTGCGCAAAAAGGTTTTCCTCAATTCCTCTGGCGGTTTTTCTCCCATCGGTAATACACTGTTCATTTTAGATTATCCGTTACTCAACATGTATGACTTTCAAGAATCACTGGTATGAAACACTGCATTTCTGCACCGTTCGCTCCTGGATGCGCACCTCTAGTCCTGGGCACTATGAGATGAGCAACCTCGGTGGTCCCCCGTCCCCCCTGCTGTTTTTCTCCCCCACCTCAGACTGTTGTGTTTGTTTATTGTCAGGTTCTCTTAGTGTCTGGTTGCACCAAAACCTTCAGATGTCATTTCAACACTTCCCATTCTGCGATTTGCTTTAACTTGTGGGTTTTTTGGAAGGAGTTTTTCTACTGATAGTGGGGAAAAAAAAAACCAACCCAAACCAATGCAAATGAAAGTTGTGCAGGTTCTCAGAGTTTGCGGTTATTACTTAAATATTAAAGGCCAGTGGTGTGTTCCAATACACACTTTTAGATGTGGTTTTATTGTAAGCCTATCAAACATTTTGCCTTTAAAATCCTCTTCAGACTGAAGTGATTTAACATATTCCCAGGTTGTCCTATTAATTGTGTGATCTAGAAACCAAAGGTTTGCTTGAAAGAGTATTGAGGTTCATTATTTTAAATCTCAGAAAGCCAATCATTAGGAGTGAGGGTAAGCCAGGTTTTAGAGTATCCTGATGTTAACTGCTGCTGATTTCTAATGACATGCTCAATGTCTGGCGAGGGAAATGGCACAATTTCTCCCTTACAACATAATAAAATCTTTTAATTAAAATTTTGACACACCAAACAAATAATTGAAGTATATATACACGCACAGGTTAAACATGCACAGTGCATGCCTTGGGGGATAGAGTGACATTCTGGTTACAGAGCAATTATTTCTCAAATTTATTCTTAATTTGGGGAGAGAATTGGTTTTGTAACATGACTTGTGCTACATCGGAAACCGGTGTTAGGAAAAGGATGTTCTCCCTTAAGCTTTTCCTGCTTTGGTTGCAGCTTGGACCTTTGGTTTTACCTGGTTTGGCCACTGTTCTGCTAAGAGTCAGCTGGCTTTGGGACAATCCCAAAAGCGATGGCGTTTCTTGGCCAGTTCAGTGAATGAAGGCAATAACATTGCTGTCTGTATTGCTTTTCCCATTGCTCCTGTTACAGCGCTCTGAGGCATCTCTCTCTGCCTTCACAGCGCTGCTCAAGGGTTTATTTCTTGAAGGTACTATTGACTCCAGTAGGAGTCATGTTGCCAAATTGCACATTTTCTCTAGTAATCTAAACTTCCTTCAAAGAGCTAATAGCTTTTAGTTTGTAAGTCTCTTGGACATCTTCATCAGGACAGCTTGTTCTTTGATTTTATAGCCATTAAACAAAGCACTTTATGATAGCTGAAGGGGACAATTGCAGGAACAACAACCCAGCAATCTGTTTCACACTTGCTTTAGTCTGCAATCTGCTGGTGTGCTTTAAATATTCAAAAACTCCTCGTGTTCTTTTACCCAAGTGTGAGTTACACGCAAGTTTGCTTGCAAATGCTTAGTACAGCTCTGTTTGTGTGAATTCGTTGGGTTTTTTGCTTTGTGACAGTATCTACAATCTGCTCAAAAATGCCTTTTTTTTTTGCCTTTTTTTTTTCTTTCAGAAAGTAAGCAAAATTTTGCCACTCGCCTTCTACAGCAGTAAAATTTTGTATTTTTTTTATTAGACTGAGAACCATAGAGGCTTATATACCCCCCCCAAGCTTAGTTCCATTGCCCATCGTGCCTTCCTGCCGCCTTGCCTGAACCCCAAGCTTGCAGAGACAGTCTTCCAGCTTTCTGCATTAAAAAGAAACCCCACCCCAAAACTAAAAGATACCTTGGCAAAGAAAAGATCATACAAGGTTTATGAGTTCAAGAAGATGGTAATGTAATTAGTTTTGTCCAAACGAATGGCACGCTGGATAGCAGCATCTTCCTTTCGCCTGTGTGCTGTGTCCCCTTCTGCTGCGCTGGGTGGCAGTTATTCAGGGCACGAGGCATTTTGTGGTGTTTTCTTTAGTACTTTTTGAGTGCTGTAAATGATCAGTTAGGGCTTGGAGCGTCAAATTGCCTAGAATTAATGGGGAAATGCGGGTGGTGGTGATGGGAAGTATAGAGGGCATTTGGTGATGCCTCAATCTAGTGTGAAAACAGAGTATAACTAGTATTGCTGCAGCCAAGTAGTAATGCTAAATGCGTAAAGCTGGGTACAACAAGTAGTTTAGGCAGTTGCTGCACTTAAGGTCAAGACTACTGTTTTTTTTACATGCTATACAAAGTGTGTGCTGCTTCTCTTATTAAAGAGGGGCACCGAGTCACATCAGACCCTCTGCTTCTGGGAATTGGGGTTATGGCTTCTGCATCCACTTACAGGTTGCGTAGCTTGCTGTTAGTATAAGAGATTAGCCGCTGAAGCCAAAAAGAAGCATGTCCACAGCTCAGCTAAAATTGAAATGCTGTTTCCAGCCCAGCCATATAGGAAGGGTCTCTTTTTTTTTTTTGTGCTAAAAAAAGGGACCTGCATCGTAATGCTTAAAAGTGCTTAAGAGTACAATAAAAAGATGTCTTGTGTCATGAAGGCTTGCAGAGATTTACTATGGAAAAGGTTTTCTATTTTAATAAAACATATTGCAACAGGGACATGCTTGCCATTTGATACATTTGCTGCATTCAGAAAAGAAACAAACAGTAAAAAAAGATGATTATTCAATAGACGCCTGACAGCATTTTGCTAGTGCTGTTATAAAAAACATCAAATTCTTTCTTACGCTAGTTACATTCTGCTGCTGGTTTAATTTTAAAATGGTTCCTACAAATCCTATGAAGTCCTCTCATGCCCCAGACAGGTGATGACAAACAACTGGGATATCACAGTTTAAAAAGTAAATAGCTGCTTTATGGAGACTTAAGCAGATGCATTTTCCCTCAGGAACGAGTCAGGCTAAGACTGTGTGTAGCTTTACTTGCAATAGCCTGTTAAATTGTAGTAATATGAATATTTACAATTATCTGTCTGTACCCTTAAGCCCGTTAAGACACCAGGAGGTTATTTTTCCATATTCATTGATATCCCTTCGTATTGGGTAAAACCTCTCAGATACATGTTTTTTTCATCTTTGTGTTGGAACAATATGATAATAATATTTTTCTGTTTATTAAATTAGCAACTACTCCGTGAGATGCAACAGATGGCAAGTCGCCCCTTCGCCTCCATCAACGTTGCCTTAGAAACAGATGAAGAGCCGCCAGATCTCATTGGGGGAAGCATAAAGGTGAGAGCTGGTGCTTTAGGATGGTCCTCACCATAATTAATCATAGATGCTTGTTTTAAACTGTGGTTAACACAGTAATCCCAAATCCTCTATTTGTTATATACCTGCAAGAACCTGTAAGTCCGGGAGGTCCATTAGATAATATTTTTATTTGCTTTTATCCCTTCAGATATGCATTTACAACTTTTGGGCTGGTTTAGATAAAAGTTACGCTGTTGTAGGGGATGAGATTTTGTGTTTGCCTTGTTAGTTTTTATGCCTTGTAATAGAGAAGAATGCAGCTTTACACAGTAGAACATTTGGCTAGAAATAGCTATAGGTGCTGCAAATAGAAACGATTTTTCTGTGATATCTCGAAGCAAACAGGAATATAATCATGCCTGTGTACTGTAACAGTGTTAACATATTTCTGATTATAAGTATATGTTCAAATACATCTTGTGATACTCAAATAGGATTGTGGAGAAATGATTGTCTTACTCCAGGCTGGCATGTTCTTAGACACAATGCATTGTATTTTTAGGAAAAGCATAATTTAAAGGAGACTAACGAATTAAAAGATCTTTTGAATGTGATGCTTTGACTAGCAGACTTGCATACAAAAAGAAAAAATTAATAACCTGAGAACAACACTGATTATTTTTCTTTCCTGTCTAAGGTAGTTGTTTTATTTTGTTTAGACTTCAGTTTTTTGGAAATCGTCCTCATTAGTCCAGGCACAAAGTTTCTCACTTTCTATTACTGTGATGAGAAAGCAGGTTATGCTTTTCTGTAAAAAATGTGTGTACTTTAGTTACTGTAAAGCACATGAAAACAATCTAACCTGAGAACTTCGGTTTGGTGAGTAATAATATTTAAGTCTTGGCCTTTGTATCACGAAATGCCACCATTAAGTTTGCTTAGTGCTTTATCTTCAGCTGTTCTTATTTATGTGTGAATATTGTCTTTCCTGCCAACTTGTAACTCTTTTTCCACCTGATTGGTGTCTTCTGGCATGTTCTGGTTGGACACTATGTAGAAGAAGCTTTTCAATATATTGTCTTAGTTTCATTATTTGTTTGGGTTATTTACTGTGTTCCATCCAAACCTCAGTCTCAAGCTTGAATGATTACTGTGATTGCCCCACATTTGAGTGCTTCATTAATGGTTACCTTTCTCTGAATTCAGGGGTTATTTTCCCTGTTTAGCAGAGATGAACATTGGAATGTAGTGAAAATAAAGTAAAATTTGCAAAAGCACACAGTAATTTGGGGTAACTGAGTGACTGGGCAGCAAAGCTGACCTGTCACTCCCACCTCTCCTTGGAGGCTCTGAGTGGTTCTAGTCCCTATTGACTTTCATTTGACTCCAAATAATTCAGTTTTTCTGAGTTTTTACAATTTCTGTACTTGTGTTATGAGGATGGCAGGCATTGGAAGTCATTAGCTGCTAATAGCTCGCCAAGACTTTGAATTACATGCTTGTAAAATTGGATTATCGCTCAACAAATTAGAATAAGCCTTTTTTTTCATTGCTTCATCGAAGATGCCATAGGATGTGTATGGATGTTCCCGTTGGACTGGAGGCAGATTTGAGAGGCTGTAGCCTGGCTGCTGATGTTTTGGGTTGCAGTCTATCTGTCAGGGGGCAATTCCCTTCCCCTCTTTCCATTTTCTGGAAATAAGCTAACTAAAAGCACCTCTTCTTTGGGATCGGGGTAGAACAAAGCTGTCCCAAACTTTTTGATCTCCCGGACAAGTTTGTCTGCACTCAAAAATGACAGAGAAGATAGTAAACTTTGAATCTCTTATGTTCTGATTAGTGTGTTTTTTCTCCTCTTGTTCAGCTGGCAGTGCTTTTACCTTTTTCATTTGGGCTTTGTTGTTCACTTTCTCCTCTGTACCTCTCTGCTTTTTGTTTTCTTCTCAGTTTCTTCTTTGATTATAGGAATGTTGAACTCTTCTCTTTTGAAGTGTGTCCATAGACAGCACTGCAGACAGGATTTCATCTTTCTCTCACTTGCAGCTATGCCTCCTTGCTTTCCCATGTCTGCTGTCATCTTCCGTATCTCATTTGTCTGACCTCCTTGGGTTACTCAAGAACTGATGAAGAAGCCAATTTTAAGCATAATAAGTAAGACTGTGGACAGATGTCCTTTTTGAGACCCAGAAATTGTTACCAACTGCTAATTGCCCTCTGTGCTGATAACTCATAGAAATGTTTCTAAATCCACTTCAAGCATAAATGAGATGGTCTGATTCAGGCAAATTGCACAAATCTTGTACAGTAACCTGGAGCCAAGTAGGGAACATGGACGTGGACTGGTGTGGCAGCAGTCTTCATCTGCTGGAAGATCTGGGTGCAGAATGAGGATGCTTTTCCATGACAAGGATAGGCACTTAATTTTTGGGGGGGGTTATATCGTTTTTTATCATCTTGGAGAATCTGAATGGGGGATAAAAGTATGTATAAAAGTTTGGAATGTTTCAGCAGAGTTGAAGTCACATGGAGAGGAGGCTCAGGAAGCTTGTGGGTTGTGAGCAACTTAAGGAATGCTGCTTCTGAGATAGTCTGGGCTGTTGCATGCTGCATATAAATGAATTTAAATAGAAGTGGAAAAAGCTGTCTCAATACCTATGGGGTCAGCTTTGTGTTTTCTCCTCATCCTTTTTGCATCTACATGGGAAAAAAGCTCATAGCAGGAGGGAACTGCAGGAGGATGGGTTGGGATGACACAGAATTGTAGAACTGCATTTGTCTTAGTGTTTTGTCTGTTCTTTAATTATTAGCTGAGAAAAGAGTCAAGAGAATTGTTGCTACATGGTTGGACTGTAAGTCATTCTCCAGTTGCTCTGCTTTTCACTGTGTCAAAATTTGAGAGCCTTCGTTTTAATGCAAGAAATCCAGACTTGAGTTATCATAAATGCATTGGTGTTTTTCCTTCTCCATGTGAATCAAAGCCTTTGGTTAATAACGAGTTTATTTGAGGGTTACAAAGGAGAAGTGGAAAATGGGACGTCTTGTCTGCAAGGGATTAATTTCCTTTTCCATTGTGCATAGCCAATTGGCAGCCAGTGTCAAGCTAGTTCCAGCCTAAGCTAATGTTTTCCAGCTGGACAGTATTAGAACCGTGTTTTCAATTAGTATTTTTCCTGGGGTACTTAGAAGTAATAGAAAGTGAATTACCTGCAGGGAAACTATTCATATTATAGTCTGCAGCTAGGCAACACGTATCTCGCTGCTTTGGTTTATTTCCCACTCAACAGATACCCAGTGGATCGCAAATCTACCACTAAATTTGCTTAGTTATTACAAAATCCATTGGCTTTTCTCTGCTGCTTTTTGTGCATTCTGAGGTGCTGCCTATCGCAATTTTTTTTTTCCTAAGAGTATTTAGTGTCCCTGGGTATCTAGGACTCATCCAAGTGTCTGAACTGGTATTATGGCAACTAAGGCTTTTTTAGGTCTTGTTATCTAATTAATCCAAGTCTTGTAGTCCTCTGCAACGATTTTTAGAAGAAGCTTTCCTGAAAGAATTTGGGAAGTTTATAATTTTAACTTTGATTTCCTAGTATCTTGAAGTTGGTGAAGACATGAAGCTAAGGCTTGTAGATTCTTGGCAAAAACACACACACAGCATATCAAGCAAATGCTTAGCTTGAGCAAAACACCTACAGCATCAACAAGAAAATTCTTGCACTAGAAAAAACTATCCTTAAGTTGGGAAAAAAAACCCAACCCTGTCTTGGAAGCTTTTGGAGGATTTGAAAAACACTCTTGTAAAAGAGAGCGTTTGCCTAGTAGAGCTGGTCTGTAGAGCAGCCTTTGCTGTGCTGTGTTTAGGGATCTGATGTGTGAAGCCAGTGCTAAGAGGTGATTATTTTTGCATCCATGATCGACAGGCTGACCACATCTATAGTTGCCTAAATGGAATGAGAGGAAGTATTTGGTGAGCAAAATCCTTCTGAGGTTCAATTAGCATGTTCTGTACCTTCATGTCGACACGCATTTAATTCTGCTGTGTTAAGCTTCTGAAGGCAAAATAGCTTCACTACAAATCCTTAATCAGAGATCAGCTCGCCAAGCTGGCTGATTCCTTAAAAATAGCAGAAGAACTGATGGAAAATAGCATCTTACTCTAGTAATTAGTTTGCTTTGTTATGGAAGAAAGTGCTGTTGAGTGGTTTAAAGACTGCCAGAAGGTTCCATCTGTTCAAGAAGTACAGCGATGAAGTGGTGGGCTGATTTAGGAGTGGGTAAGGGGTACCACAGATTTATATTTTCAGTCTACTTGTATTTCGCATTCTGAGTGGTGCCCTTGTGAAATTCCTTTTACATTGCAATGAAGTTGCGACAGTCAGTAATGAGCAGAGAAGTGAGAAGTTAGAAGCCGTGTGCCACAGAGCGATGGGTTTGGGGAAGCTGCATGGGTACCACTGCGGTGAGGAATGATTTGAAATGAAGCATCTTCCAGCTCCAGCACTTCTACAGGGCGACTTAGTTTTTACATGTAGCTCTGAGCCCTGCTATGTTGGGCTGTTTTGTGTGATGAGAGAAGTTCAGTGAAGAACAGCTAAGGGCCAAGGAACGGATCGTTTCCAGGGCTGTTATCCTGTTCTGGTTGTCACTCTTGGTGACTCATTTTCCCTTTAGTTCTCGTGTTACTGACCCATTATTAGTCCGTCAGATTCGCTGAAGGACCAGCTTCTGTGATCCCCTCCCAACTCGCTTCACTTAAAATGAGCCGAGTTAGCATGGTGAGCACAAAGTCTCCCATTTCTCATGCCACCAAGCTGAGACTGGGGGTCCTTGTGCAAGCGTGCAGATTTGGAAGGATAGCAGGCTTGGGCTGTGATGTACAAAAGTAGCCTTAAGTAGAAATGACCAGGCTATCGAGACGCATTGGAGGGGGACAGAGCAGGTTGGGGTTTTTCAGAGGTGGTATAAATGAGCTGAAAGGGTGAGACATTAGTTATCCTCTAAAGGATAGAGGAAGGTTGGAGGAAGGGGATGAAATTGTG